CTACAGGCCAATATCTCTGATGAACATAGATGCAAAAAACCTCTACAAAGTATTTGCAGTCAGGGCCGGCCCGGTGGCGCACTGCTATAGTGTGCCGCTTGGGAAGTGCGGTGGCGCTCCCGCCGAGGGTTCGGATCCCACATACAGACCGGCCGCTCACTGGCTGAGCGAGGGGCGGGAGCAACACCGAGGGTTGCGATCCCGTGGCCGGTCCCGGTCCGGTACGGGTGCGACACTGAGGGTTGCGATCCGTTGCCGGTCACGAAAAAAGACAAAAAAAAAAAAAAAGGAAAATATTTGCAATCAGAATTCAGCAACATACCAAAAAAAGAAAAAAAATTATACATATACCATGATCAAGTGGGATTCATCCCAGGGATGCTAGGATGGTTCAACATACACAAGTCATTGTGATACACCACATCAGCAAAATCAAGGACAGAAACCATATGATTATCTCAATAGATGCAGAAAAAGCATTTGACAAAATGCAACATTGCTTAATGATTAGCAAATTAGGCATAGAAGGAAAGTATTTCAACACAATAAAAGCCATATGCGACAAACCCACTGCCAAAAGCTTTCAGGTTTTCCCTTAAGAACAGGAACAGGACAAAGATGTCCACTCTCATTACTACTATTTAACATAGTATTGGAAGTTCTAGCCAGAGCAATCAGGCAAGAGAAAGAAATAAAGGACATCCAGATTGGAAAAGACAAAGTCAAACTGTCCCTGTTTGGAGATGACATGATCCTATATATAGAAAAATCCAAAGACTCTGCTGAAAAACTTTTAGAGCTTATAAATGTTTTCAGTAAAGTTGCAGGATACAAAATCAGAATGCAAAAATCTCATGTTTCTATACTCCAATAAAAACCTAGCAGGAAAATCAAGAAAGCAAGCCTATTTGCACTAGTTTCCAAAAAAAAAAAATCCAAAAACAAAACCCAGGAATCAATTTAACCAAGGAAGTGAAAGATCTCTACAATGGGAACTACAAATCACTGTTGAAAGAAATTACAGAGGACACAAAAAGATGGAAAGACACTCCGTGCTCTTGGATTAGAAGAATTAACATTGTGAAAATGTCCATATGACCCAAAGTGATCTACAGATTCAGTGTGATCCCCCTGAAAATACCAATGACATCACAGAAATAGGAATAACAATCCTAACATTCATATGGAACAGCAAAAGACCACAAATAGCCAAAGCAATCCTGAGCAAAAAAAATAAATAAATAAGAAAGCCAGAGGCATAACACTACCTGACTTCAAATTGTTCTACAAAGCTGTAATAACCAAAACAACATGGTACTGGCATAAAAACAGACACTTGGATCAATAGAACAGAATGGAGAATCCAGAAATCAACTCTCATACTTAGAGCCAACTGATATTTGAGAAGGGCAACAGGAACATACATTCGGGAAAGAACTGCTTCTTCAATAAATGGTGCTGGAGGGCCAGCCTGTGACTCACTCAGGAGAGCGTGGTGCTGACAACACCAAGTCAAGGGTGAGGATCCCCTTACCAGTCATCTTTTTTTTAAATAAATAAAAAATAAACAGTGCTGGGAAAACTGGACAGAATGAAACTAGACCCGTATCTCTTGCCATATACCAAAACCAACTGTGAATGAATTAAAGACTTATATATAAGACCTGAAACTATAAAACTACTAAAAGAAAACATAGGGAAAACACTTCAGGAAGTACTATTGGGCAAAGACTTTATGAAGAAGATTCCAAAAGCACAGGCAACAAAAGAAAAAATAAANTCTCATCTCTTTTCTTGGTAGGTGGATCTGGACAGAATATTTCTGTCCCAAAGACCCCGAGAAGTCCCTTAACTGGAATACTAGTAAGGACTGCTCCAGCTGATGCTGTCTCTCCAATACAACAGGTATTGAAAGAGCCCCAGAAATAACCACTGTTTATGGTTTGCTGTGTACCCTTCTAGATTTTTTTTTAACACATATAAGTGTGTGTGTGTGTGTGTGTGTGTGTGTGTGTGTGTGTGTGTGTGTGTAGAGAGAGAGTGTGTTTTATAAATTGGATTGCACCACACATTATTCTGACATTCATTTCATTTTATCATTGGAATGTAAGGTCCATGAGGGCAGCGGTTTTTGCTTGCTATTGTATCTCTTCTCTAGAACAGTGGCTTGCACATAGTCATATCATAGTAGAAACACAATTAATACTTGCTGAGTGAAGGATCATGTCAGAGACATCTTTAAATGTCAGTATTTGCAGAAATAATTCATTCTTTTTTAAGGCGACATAATACACTGATTTATTTAGCCACTCTTCTGTTGATGGACATTTAGCTTGTTTTGGATTTAACTTAGTACAAAAACAATACGGTGAAGATCCTTGTACCGCTTAGGAGGCTATTCCTGTATAAAAGCTTATCAGGATTCATTTGCAAATATCAGAAATCATTCTAGCTAGTTAAGCAGAAAGGAACTTATTAATACAGGGGTTTTGGTATTGGAAGGACTGGAGAAGTCTGTAGTCTGCACTGAGCTTCCAGGAAAGGGTCCCAGAATATCTCAGAGTTGTCCCATTAAAGGAACTTCTGTTTCTGCCACAATCAGTAAGTCTTTCTCTAAGTGCTTGCCTGGGACAACTCCTCCTGTTGAGCTTAGGATCAGCTTCAGGACCACACTGCCACAGATGCAATCCATGGCAGCAAAACATCTCTGTGCCCTGCCTCTTAATACCCATGGAGCAGACATCAGAACCTTTGTTACTCTGCCATCAAAAAGCAAATGCCTTCACAGCTATGTTTGCCAGTAAAAGCTGTAGAAAGGCAGCCTTACCGTCCCTGGCACCTGCCAGATGTTCTGAGAATGGGCATGTTAGACAGAAGCTAGGTCACTTGAAGAACACAGA